TCTAATAGTCACAAAAGTAATTAACAAAGTGACAGTATAATTTTCAGTTTTTGTCATTTCTCTTTAGCAGAAACATGGAAATAAAAACAAACCGTTGGAAATGGAATTATGGTTATCTTACCTTCACACCCAAAGATGTACTTTCTTTTGTTCAGCTGTTCAATTTTCTGAAAGCTTCAATCCAGTCAGATGCATTCTGTATTTCTGAGTAGGGTTTTTCCCAATCCTCTGAGTACAATTGCACAGAAATCACAAGTCCTATCCCACAGAGCTTAGCAGTGTTGCTCAATAGAGACATGATTGGAATTTTGAGCTGAACAACTTAGTAGAGGTTACAATCCATTCTGTTTAGTTGAGGACAGGATAGGCACCTGAATCCAGGGTGCATGTCTTTATGACAATAAAATGATCTAATTTCAGTACCCATTCATCTGCCACTGCAGCAAGGACAGGGCACCCTAGAGTACAAATCATCTGCACAGGCTTCCACTGGCGGCCTACTGCAGTCAATCATAACTCAACAGTCACAAGTACATATCCTGTATTCTACCCATAATTCTCCCTTCCTTCATTGTATAAACATCTCCATTGGCTTCTGTTTGCTAATTGTTCAGCCAATTACTTTTGTCACGATAGTGACTCTTTCCTTTACCTGCTAGTTCCTGAACACAATGAATCTAAAGTGCCCTGGTTGCATGCCTGAAATCCTAGCAGCTCAAGAGGCTGAGGCAGGAGGATCACAAGTTCAAACCAGCCTCAGCAAAAGTGAGGTGCTAAGCAACTCAGTGAGACCCTGTCTCTAAATAAAATACAAAATAGGGCTGAGGATATGGCTCAGTGGTTAAATACCCCTGAGTTCAATCACTGGTACCAAATAAAAGAAAAGAAAAAAGTGCCCTGGTGGCAGTCATTGCCTTTAGTTCTGTAAGACCCTCACTATCTCTCCTTGCCAGAGTAGACCAACTTTAAAGACCAAGAACTCCAACCTACAGAGCACAGAGATACACATAAGAAAGCATGATGCCCCCATGGGTCATTGAGAGTGATGTTAATGTTGAGTCCATTCCTTCCTCTATCCTCTGGTACTCAGACCTGTGTATACCCTAGCCTTCCAGAGCATTATCTTTAAGCTGGCACCTCATCTGTTCCTTCAGTAGTCCATTCCAGGGCTATCAGAGGACAGCTTATTCTAGATGATACAGTACATGGGTTTTTTGGTCATGAGCCTAATCCTATACTTCCTTCACTATGAAGTGGGTCCTCTGATCAGATATTATGTTGTGTGAATTTCCATTCCAGTTAAGAAATCAGAAAAGCCCCCAGACAGTAGCAAATAGTGTTGATTATAGACCAGAAGACAAAAAAGCCAAGTTCATATCTTGAATAAGTATATCAGTAGAAGCATGGATGAAAGGCCTTTGCAGAACAGAAATAGCCGAATGTCAACTTGGTCCAAAGAAACCAGTTGGTCTCCTGATGAAGCTGTTCCTTACTGGGGGCTTGGTGTGGACCTCTATTGTTGGCAAGTCAGATTCAAAGATATCAGTAGCCAGATTAGCCATGAGAAAAGGTGGACCACCATACTGACAAATGAATAGTATTCCTCTCTGCACCATGGCCACTCTATTCGGGTGCCCATTGTGGCAACATTGGAGTGACCATTGAAAAAGCCTGGATAATATCAACTGGTCAAGTCATTTTTTTTTCCCATGCACTGCTTGCAGCTCCAGCCATTAGGAAGCTCTCCCTTCTCTGTTGTCCCTCAAGGCTACCCTGAATGCAGCTGTAATGCAGTACCTCTATTCTTTTCTTTGCAACAGAATAGTGATGAACCTTTGTCTTCAGCTTAAACACCATAAATATGAGTGAAGCAGTGCCACTGTGCAACCCTGGTGGATGATATGGGCATCTGAGCTACTTGTTCCTTGCCTACTCATGGCAATCTGGTTTAGTGTAGACTTCATATATGATGTTCTATTCCCATTTTTATGGTTTAGATATGAAGTGTTCTCCAAAAGGTCATCATGTATGAAGTAATACGAAAATGTTCAAAGGTTAAATTATTGGGTTATAACGATCTTAACCTAATGTGTGCATTAATCCATCTGAGTGGATTAACTGGGTGGTAATCATAGGCAGGTATAGTGTGGGTGGAGGAGGGAGGTTACGGGAATGTACCTTTGGGGCTTAGGTTTTGTTCTTGTAGGGTAAAAGTCACTCTCTGTTCTTGATGCCATGTCCTGAGCAGCTTTCCTCCACCACATCCCACCACCTTATCTTGGTTCCTGAGCAAGAGTTAGCCATCTGTGACACCATGAGCTCCAAACAAACTTTCCTCCTCTAAAATTATTCTTGTCAGGTCTTTTGGTCACAGTGACGAAAAAGCTGATTAAAATACCCATATTCTGATGGGTGGCCATTGGCTCTGTCTGACCTGACAAATTAGTATATCTAACAAAATCTAGCTCATATGGTCAGTTCCAAATACTGTTGGTGCCCTGATATCAATAATTCTATCTCTATCAAAGCTCAGAAATATTTCAGGACCAATTTTTAAAAAGACATTAATTTTAGTCTACAGTCGACTTGGCCTTGTCCAGAGATCTAGGACATGCATTTTGATTCTCCCACTCAGATGTCCATCAACTCCAAACTACACCTTTCCCCACTGACATTTCCAACACTGTAGATTCTGCCATATTATCTGTCTCAAGTAGGACAGTTATTATACTGCTGTGCACACAACCTTTCCTGCTTCAGACCCCTCCAAGCTGTCAGACTTCCATGCCATCCAGTAAATGAATCAAAGTAACATTCCTAGATGTACAAAGTGTTGTCTCCAAAAATTAAGGAGACCTTATTGATATCTCACCTCCTTCTTTAAGGTAGGAAATGTAAGACACAGTAATTTATTTATTATGTGGGAATAAGAGAGTGGATATTTTCACTGCCCCTCACTACTGAGTCACTCAAAACTTTACTGATAGGACATGTTCCTGAATTTTCAGTGTATCTCCCAATTTCCTGAGGGTATATTTCTTATCAAAGCCTCTAATATACTAGACATCTCTTTCTTGTCCTTCACAGTTATGTCATTCAATATAAAGGGATCAAAGTGATATTCTGCAGAATTTTCAGATGGTCCAGGTCTCTTCAGACCCTATTATGACAGATCTTAGGAGAGTTAACATAGCCTTGGGCACAATAGTAAATGAATAGCACTATCTGTTCCACATGAATGAAAACTCTTTCTGAGTCTCTTTTCTGATCAGATTAGAAAAAAAAACACTCTTGCTAAATCAATTTCCTTGTGCCGTGTACCTGAGACCATACTCAACTATTCTAGTAAAGGTACCACATCTATTACTACAGGCACAATCAGGACTGTTATTTGTTTGAGTTTGGGTCTGTCTATAGTTATTCTCCAGGATCCACCTAGTTTTCTGCAAGGACCAAATTGGTGAATTGAGGACTTCACTTTGGCCTTCCTGATGGGGGAACCAAATTGAGGTTACTTGAACTGCCAAGTACATCTATTCCAATTAATCATTCAAAGACTGGAGGAATAACTAAGGAGAATGACTGCAGACCTCATGGACCATACTATTGTAGCCAGGATGTTATTTATTACCTGGCCCATAAAATTCTGCTCTAACAATGAGGCCATAATAACACTCAGATCTCTGGCTTTTGTGTCTACCCAGAAACTGTGCCTAACAGTCTTTTAAAGTGTCTATGTCTTCCTCTTTCCCCAGTTTATAATCATACAAACAAATGCACAAAAGGCCCTCTGGGAAGGACTTGGGGAATCACACAGTTCATTCCACAGTGTTGCAAGACCTGGATCTGTAACCACTTCTCCTACTACCTATGCTGGCCTGTGATGGAAGCACCACTGAGCTGTTTAGTAAAGCTGGGGTCCCTTTCACCACTTTTGGTAGTCTTAATGAATGGTATGTGCGGGTTCTCAAACCCTCTTATGAAAAAGATTTCTTTGGGGGGGTCTTCTGGCTTCATAAAGTATATCTATGCTCATTTCTTTTAACTATTTAGTCTTTACTATCTGTGGGAGCAACTTCAGAATTCCCATTTTGTTTAAGAAGGACCATCACTTTCTCCAGGCTTCTAAGAACTACCCTAGAAATAAACTTGCCCTGCCTCTGGAGTTTTAGGAAGGCTGTTATATTCTATGCCTGAAAAAATCATTGAATTCTTGCTTCTCCAGTCTTGTGTTCCAATTCTAACCATCAATCAGCAGATAATCTTTGAAGCACTGGTTTATAAGATTCTGGATCACATAGTCAGTTAGTGGTATCTGCCATGGAAGGAAAAGAGGGAATTTTTAGACCACCATCATAGTTTGCCATTTCTTTTGTAGACATCTGTACAACTTGTATAATCTGTAAATATAGGATTGAGTACAGGCAAGCTTCCCACAGAAGAACAAAGTTCTTGACCTCTGCCTCAGTTCCCTTATAGTCTAACCAACCAATTTAATTAAATTGATAGATCATGCACTTCATTTTTTCCAAGCACAGATGTCAAAAGGAGGATAAAGCAAAGGAACCTAAGGTAGGGAGATAAGAAGACTAAGTTGTAAAATAAAGAGTGTAAAGGTGGGGGGAGTGGTATGGTTCCAAATGGTAAACATTTAGCTTTTCTCAGTTTTGCCTTCTTCTGATTCTCACACAGTGTTTGTTTGGAATAGGACTAGATCCCCTAAAACTCTTCCTCTGTGATTTAAAAGATCAACTCTATGATTAGTTTGATTCCTCCTCAGTCATTGCTGAAATCCTTCCTAGGTGGTTCCATTTGAGTTGTAACAAACTCAAATAAGAAAAGTGAAAGGCCTCCTGTTGGCCTTAATTTTTGTCAGTTGCCATCTGACAAACCAAGAGAAAAAGAAGATCTCCCCAGGAATTCATTTCTACAACAGTATAGCCATGAATAAGAGAAAGACTGCAATTAAGCACTGTTTTGTGTTGTTTTGGTTTTGTTAGACACTTTCACGGGACTGGTCAACATCTTGACGGATATTATTTGGCGATTCACTGGAGACTTCCTTGCACCTGACCTGGTCTGCCGAGTGGTCCGCTATTTGCAGGTATGTAGCACCTTCCAGATGTGATAGGACAAACTAACACCAAAGTTAACATGTGGGTTTTTCCTAAGGAAAACAACATAAATTTTGCACTTCTATGCAACAAACTACTCACTTCCTCCTAGGAGAAAGAACAAGCAAAATTTGCAAGAGTTTTTTAATGTATTTCTTTTGTTAAAAAATTATACTTAAAGGGCTGGGGATGTGGCTCAAGCGGTAGAGCGCTCGCCTGGCATGCGTGCGGCCTGGGTTCGATCCTCAGCACCACATACCAACAAAGATGTTGTGTCCGCCAAGAACTAAAAAATAAATATTAAAAAATTCTCTATCTCTCTCTCTCTTCTCTCTCACTCTCTCTTTAAAAAAAAATTATACTTAAAGAAAACACAAATAAGCAATTCCAAGAATAAAAAGTATTCGATATATCAAGCATTAAGTAAAAGTTATGGGTCAGTATTAAAATTTGTGACATATTATGACTAAATAATCTCCAGAAAATTTGTTAATTATATCTATGTTTTGCCTTCAAACTAACCCAATACTGGTTACTGCTTCTTTGGAAAAATTTTGACAGTTTGTTAGAAGATAAGCACTAACTTCCTATATAATTGCCAGCAAAATACATTTTTAAAAATATATATTGACATTTATTTTCTTTTTTTAATTTAAATTTTATATTTATATTTTATTATTGACATTTCTTATTCTAATTTTCTAATTGAATTTCTTTTCTAAACTGATTGTCATCCCTTTTCAATTATTTTGTAACTAGGATACTTAATATTCTCTGATTTTTGCTAAGATTCATTTTTACATTAAAGATATCTATACTCTGCCCATCAATATGCTTCAATGTAAGTGACATGTATTATACTATATAATTAATTTAAAATTATATGTATCATATTTGCATTATTAATACATCATGTATGTATATAATATAGATAAAGACAACTCAATAGCATATGGAAAGAATGGACCATTTAATAACTAGTGTTAACATTGATGTGGCCTGTTTCTGATATCCTGAAATTATTTTCCAATAATTCATTTCTACTCTGATCCCAGTATTTCAGGTCTAAATTATTGCAGCTGTGTAGCTATATAGTGCATTTCTGGAACTCCTTACTAGATGCCACTTTTTGGCAGGATTATTTAGGATTTTTGTATCTGTATTCATTTAAAAATTATTATTTTTATTTGTTTCATCATTTTTATGAAATAAATTTAGTTATAGAGCTTTTTATTGTTTAGAAAATGAATAGAAAATAGTTCCAATTTTAATCTTCCTGTTTGCTCTGTATATGACCTTGAAAATACAGTAGGTGTAAAAGCCCCTACCACTATATGAGAACGGTGCTTTCTTGAGTAATTTTGAAAAACATTCAATTTCTTCTTGAGGATTTGTACCTCCTTGTAGATAAATGTGTTTCAACTGCTTACTGTATTAGTAATCAACTGCTGAGATACAAATTATGGCAAAACTTAGTGGCTTAAAACAATAAACATTTATTATCTCACAGTTTCAAAATGCAGGAAAAGGGTGATTGGGTAGGTATGGATGAAGTTTTATCATAAAGTTCAGCCAGATGTTTCATGAACCTACAGTCATTAGAAGGCTTGACTGGGGCTGGACACTTCATTTGCAAGGTGGTCACTCACACAGCAAGCAAGTTAGTGCTTGCTCTAGGTAGAACACTCACCTCTCCACGCAGACCAATCCAGAAGTCTTAAGAGTCCTCACCACACAGCAGCGGGTTTTTCCTAGACCAAGGTGGAAGTGGCCATATGTTTTATGAACTAGTCTCCAAAGTCACAAAACCATCACCTTCACACCATTCTCTTGGTTATACAAATCAACTCTGATTCAGTATGGGGAGAACAAACTCACAAGAGAGACTAAAACCAGGAAGCAAGAATTACTAGGGACATGTTAGAGGCTGGCAATCACACCTGCATTTTTGAAATGCATATCAGATACCATTTTTTTTTCCTTATTGACAACTTAAAAATGTCCTCTTTACTCAGAAATATACATGTCTCTTCTAACTATATTTACAATGAACATTGAAATTATATATTATTTAATAGAAAATATGGCTTGGTGGCATCACAAAATGTAGCAAAAAAATTCTTAATAATTATCTCCTCAGAAAGGCAACAAGAAACCTGAAAAAAACTGTCAGAATCAAATTTTTAAGGACTCTGGAATTTAACCAAAAGCTTGCAACAACCAAGGGAGCATTTATTCATGAAAATGACTGAATCTTAGAAGGAAAAATTAGCTTTGTGGTGTTTTAGCTTGCATTATTCTCATCCCTCAGTATCCAGCTCTGCTGTAGCCTTGAAAATTAACAGTTCTCATTCCCAGTAAAAACACTCTGGCTGCCACCAGAGAGAGCAGAACAGGGCTAGAGCTCTTTCAAAGCTTCATTTCCCAAAATTTGCTAACATGTAATGTTCCTGAAGATCCTTAGAAGACCCCACTGACAAGGCTGTCTGTATTTTACTTTATTCAGAATTTGCACATCGTGAAGCCCTTTTCCCTCTGAGAATTAAAAATATATATGCAGGCAATCAATCAGCATAACAGATGCATGAAGTATTGGGAAACTCTTGAGGAAAACAATAGACTAAGAAAAATCTTACAATCATAAGCTGGATAATGAGATTTCCATGGGGGGCTTTGAACATTTCTGACATATTCCTTAGATTCTGAAAGACCAAGTATATGCCAGTGATGATGTCAGTCCTCACAAAGAAATAGAGAAGGCCCTAAGCTGCTACCTATGGTTGACATTGAAGCATTTGACAAAATTCAATATCATTTCAAGTAAAAAATGTGCAACAAATTAGCAATGGAAGGAAAATACCTCAACACAATAAAGGCCATACATGATGAGGCGATGGCTAACATTATACTCAACAGTAATAGTTTAAATGCTTTCTTTCTATGATTAGGAAGAGATGAGGATGCCCACTCTTACCAGTCCTATTCAGCATAGTGCTAGAATCTTAGCAATTAAGCAACAGAAAGAAAGAAAAGGCTTCCAAAACAGAAATGAAGAAGTAAAAATCGCCTGTTTGCAGATAATATAATATTATATGTAGAAAACTCTAAAGGCTCCACCAAAAAACTAAATTAAAATAAAATTAATGAACAAATTTAGTAAATTTGAAAGATACAAAATTCAATTGGCAAAGATCAGCAGCATATACTACTAATATATACTAGTGTAGATTATTGACTATACATAGCAAACTATCCAAAAAAGAAATCAAGAAAATAATCCCACTTATAATTGCTACAAATACATAGTAAAACGCTGAGGAATAAATCTAACTAAAGTGGTAAAATAACTGTACACTTTAATTTATAGAACACTGATTAAGGAAGTAGGAGAAAAAATGAATGGAAGGATATCTCATGTTCTTGTATTAGAAGAATTTATATTGGTAAAATGGTGTATACTACCCAAAGGGGTCTGCAGATTCAGTGCACCTCCAATCAAAATTCTAACAATATTTTTCACAGATGTGGAAAAAATATATAGGGAACCACAAAAGCTCAAAATAGTTAAATCAATCTTGAGCAAGAAGTAAAAAGCGAAAAACATCAAACTGCCTTTCAAAATATAATTCAAAGTTATAATCAAAACAGCATGACATTTGCATAAAAACAACATATAGAACAAAGGATCAGTTTAGAGATCCCAGAAATAAATACATATGTGTATGATCAATTCACTTTTGGCAAAGGCACCCAGAATATAGAACAGAAAAGGATATTTTCTTCACTGAATGGGCCCTGGGAAAACTGGATGTTCACGTGCAGAAAAATGAAGTTAGGCTCTTACCACACACCATGAATGAAAATTAACTCAAAATGGATTGGGGAATTAAACATAAAACCTAGAATTATAAAACCTCTAGAAGAAAACATAATAGAAAATCTCCATAACATTTGTCTGTTATGGATTGTTTGTGCCCAAAAAGCACAAGTAACAAAAGCAGACACATAGGATTACATCAATCTAAAAATCTTTGCACAGCAAAGGAAACAATCAACAGAATGAATAAACAACCTATAGATTTGGAGAATATATTTACAAACTATATATCTGATAAAGGTTCTATTACCACAAGCAACTCAATATTATGAGCTATGCTATGGATATGGTTTAATTGTATCTCCCAAGGGTTCATGTGGATGTATCTCAGTGTGGCAGTATTGGAAGTGGTAGAAACTTCAAGCAGTGGGCCTAACAGGAGATATTTGAGTTCTTATAAGTGTGTTCATGGAAGGTAGACCTCTTATAAGTCCCTAGTTCTCATGAAAGGATTATCATAATGGGAACAAGCCTGGCTACACCCAGCATTTGAATGAGAATCCTCCATAAATGTTCCACTATCTTCCATCTGTACTATGCTGTCTGATTTTGAATCTCCAACACGTATGAACTAAATAAACCTTCTTTCTTATAAAGTTATTCTATGCCAAGAGTTTTATTACAGCCATTAAAAGCTAACTAATACAATGGGGGCGGGGGGGGGGGCTAATGAAAAAATGGGCAAATGACTTGAGTACCCATTTATCCAAAGAAGACATACAAATGGACAATGGGAATAAGAAACATCATTGATAATCATAGAAATACAAACTAGAACCATAATGAGATATTACCTCATGCCTGTTAGGATAGCTATTGCCAAAAAGAAAAAAGAATAATAACAAATGTTGGAAAGGGTATGGAGAAAAGGAACCCTTGTACACTGTTGGTGGGAATGTAAAATTGTGAAGCTGCTATGAAAAGCAGTATAGAGAATCCTTTTAAAATTAAAATTAGAATTATCATATGATCCAGAAATCCCACTTCTGGGTATATATTCAAAGGATATGAAATTAGAATGTCAAAGGGATACCCAGACTCTCAAGTTCATTTTAGCATTTTTCAAAATGCCTAGGATATAGAATTAATAAGTGCTGATTAATCAATGAAAAT